CCTCAAGCTGGGTCCCATTTCACTCCAGGTGCTCTCACTTTGAGCCTTCTGCTTGAACATGATCTGGATATTCCCCAGCACGGGCTTTACGAACTCCAATCCTAAAACCCTGTCTTCATCAAGTTACTGTCTTGCTAAAGACTTCCAGTCATTTTTCATCATCTGTAGGTTTTCGACCTGAAATTTATGGCTCCTTGTCACCTGGCTCAGAGTTACTCAGCTGTTCTCACTGCCCACTGCACTCTAAGATGAACTGCCCAGTGAAGTCACTTTCCTAACTGTCCCCCACAGGGGCACCTGCCTTGTTCACATTATTTCTCTCGCCAGCAATGTCCTTCTCTAACCCTTCTGTCCATTCCCATACTACACTTCTTTCAGCATCCAGCTCAACATCCAGACGTCTTGCAGTTTTCCCTGTCTCGTGTCCTGTGAGCTCCTGCAGTTATTCTGCGTATGTTATTTATGTTGGTAGTGTACCAAAATCTTCCTTTTACTGTTACTTAACTGGTCTTGTGTTTATCTTCAAATCAATACATCTAATAAGTAAACATTTACTGGATTCATTTTATGTACCAAGTAATAATGGGTGTGGTGGGTATATAAACAAGAATAAAATACTCTCTTGGTCCTCAATCCAGTTAAGGAGATAAAATGCAAAGTATATTAATTTAAAAGTGAAAGTGTGTGCTTTAAATAACAGTTCAAGGCAACAATAGAAAAGACTTAAAAAGGCAGTGCGTGACTGACTTCCCAGTAGTGTAAACAATGCACCGTTTTCCTAGTCTGTCATCATCCCAGAAGGCATGAGCCAGGTCTGTTTTGGGGAAGATACCCAATAGCTTCTGTTTGAACTGAAGCAGGTCTACTACAAGGCAGAAGAGCAGAAGAAGCTTATTAGCTTCTCGTTAGCTTCTGATGAGCAATTTCCAGGAATGTGGTATTGATCAGGATACTATATACACCTATGTAGCATACAACAGTCAAAGAATATTAACGCAAGAGCTCTGATTCACCTGAGCTAAAGTGGTAAGAGGCAGCCACCCACTATAATTCTCTGTAAAACCCTTGTAAGTCTTTAATATTTTTCTCCATTTGTTATAGTCTGACTCCTCCCACTGTCCCACTCCTCCCCTACAATATGAATGCCACAAGGGCAGAGACCTGGTAACGCTTTTTCATGCTCTATCCTCAGTGTCTAAACAGTGCTTCGTTTATGGTAGGCACTCAAGACATGCTTATTGATTGAATGAAACTGCCCTAGCTATTTACATGAGGACTTGGGGGTTACAGTCACAAATCACAGAGTGCCCTTTTCATGTTCCCAGTGGGGTGAGGTCTGCTCACCACGATGCATCGATCTCTTCAAATGCCAGTGCATAGTGTTTTCACCATAAGGGAGGCATCTTTTAATTAGGGACAGCAGGGGACATAGAACTGCTGGGTTGCACTATGCCATCCGGAAAACACACGAGTCCTGGGTCCAGAGGCTGAACCTTCAATTTACTTTGCACTACCATTCTTACTCGTGTCCTGATCATCTCCTTTCTTGGAACATTTTAGAAGACAGGCCTTTGGAAAAGCAGAAATGGAAAGTTTTAATTTAGTACTGCTTAATGCCATATGAGATATTGGGCAGAAATCAGCAAGCTGGAAAATATGTGAAATTCTGAGTAATCTGCATATTTGGTACTTCAACATGGTATCTGAACTATTATAAAAAAGATGAAAAAATTAAAATATGATTTTTAAAACAACATGTAACATAAGGAAAGAGAAACCTAATGAGGCTAAGTAGTCTGTAAGGGTATGGATCTTGTCCATCTTCTTTATTACAGGAGATGATTAATAAAGATGCTTAATAATAAATGAGTGAGACTTAAAAAAATTACATCATTTGCACATGTAGTTAGAAGTCGTGAAGCCAGAACACACACTCAAAGCCTCTAATTCTTTACAACACAGTGTCTACTGCAAGCCAACAATACCAGAAAATTGTTGAATATGAGATTCTGAAGCAGAGGAGGAAACTCTTATTGGTAGATATGGAATAAGAGTAGGATTGCTCCTCAGGTCAAATCTGAAGTCAGATTTACAAAAATTTAAATGTTTCCCAAAATTAAACAAAAAGCTATGGAAGAGGCAAAGAAGTGGAAATCATTGACCTTAACTTCAAAGAACTGATCACTGGGTATAGGACGCAGGATGTACATAAACCTCCTGATAATACAAGAACAATGTTATAGTGTGTAATTCAAGTGCCGGATTGTGGGATAAAGACTAAAAGTGCTTTAGCAATTTGGAAAAGCCACAGAGCACCATGGGCTAAGGAAGAGTTTATGAACACCAATGAATACAGAGTGCACCTTAAAGAACATCTAGGATTTGGAGGGGAAGAATAGCAGTATGAGAGAAGGTGGAAATGGGAGGAGGCGGAAGTATAAAGATCTAGAACAGAGAATTTATGTGGAAAGTACATCTAAGATACTTATTTTTTTAAATATCCCCCTCTCCCCCAAAACCTTATGTTTATGTTGATAGTTAGCCTGTCCATTATGGATATCATTTAGATGGGTGAAAGCATCATCGTCTCCTCTTCTAAAGATGATCCTTTCACAGAATGATCTATTCATCTTCTGCAATTAATTGAAAATCTTGTTGAATTTTAATTCTACCTGTGCTCTTAACTAGTGTTTCAGTATTCAGTATATTTGGGGACCAGTCATCATATGGTCACCTCAGATCACAGAAATTTAATTGGTCTAGAACATGCCAGGGGCTCAATAAACGTTTATTGAATCAACAGAGAAAAAGAGAAAGGAAAAAGGATGGATGGAGTTTGGGCATATTATTTCTCATTAATTTTTCAAAAGTTAGGTGAGCAGTTATTTAAGTCATAATCAGGAAATATTCATAATAGACTGAATGAACTACTGATTTTATACAAACCTTTCTGATGTACAGAGGTAGAAAAAGGGAGTGGAACAAAGAATGTGAGAAGAAGTAAGTAGTTATTTACAATAACAAACTCCTTTCTCCCAGTGGTAAATTATTTTGGAAGAGGAATGAACTGAAATCCTTTACATAAGCAAGAGCTGAGTAAGATAAACATTTTAGACTATGCCAGGGATTTGGAAGACCATTCGGCATTCCAGACTCCCCTGTGTTGTTGCATATTGTGAGAAAAAGGCCACCAGCCTTGAAGCCAAATGGCCTGTTCTCAGGGTGAATTCTGACCTTACAGCAGTATAGTCTTAGGCAAGTCATTTAACCCCTCTAAGTCTGTTTCTTCATCTGCAAAATAGGGATAATTGTATCTACTTCATAGGATGATTGTATGGATAAAAAGGGTGTCTGCAAAAAGCCTGAGTACCTCATAAATAGAAGAAGCCCAATAACTTGTAACTTGTATTAATTCTTAAGCAACCATAATTTCCCCACCCCACTCCACTAGGTGGAAATCAAATCTGACCTCACCATGGCGAAGAGAGAAAAGGCCTCCTTACCTCAGGTGACGACAATCAAATCAGCTTGTTCTTCCAGACAGAACCACCCCCAGCCTCCACTCTCACCCATAATCTACCAGTCTTTTCCTCACAGCTACCACCCTGCAGCTTTCTTAGAGTTTCTCAAATTTTAAGAAGTTCCTGTTGAAACATTTAAGGCTCAGGAAAAATCTAAAATTTCAAACAAATGGATCTATACAATTTAAAGGGCAAACTCTCACCCCCATAAGTAGATTTTGTTTATCAATGACATATTTTCAGAGATCTGTCTTGGGTCCTAGATATGTCCAGGGGATGCACAGGATTGTAAATTCTCTAAGGGGATTTCAAAATATGGTGAAAATCTACCCAGAACAAACGGAGAGAATTTGGGTCTTTGTATCAGAATAAAGGAAAGCTCCTTCCATTTTTAGTTATAAAAGACTACTATAAACCTGAAAACCTAAAATATGCCTTAAAAATCTATAATACCTCAAGAATAAATTTTTTAAAAATCTTAAGTCCATGCAGTATGCTGTTGGTGAAATCTACATTGTAGGCTGGAAAAAAAAAGCTGAAATGGGGTGGATCAAGACACATTTTTTATACCTATGCAAAGTTTTGTAGCTACAGGAGTAGTTCTGGAAACAGTAATGTTAAAACTGTTCAAAGACTGGGCTTCCTATTTGTATAATACAAAAAAAGAACAATTTGTAGATGGATCCTTTAACAATTTTTTGATTGTGTTGACAGAACAACTTTGGTTCACAGACACTTAATATCAGTAACCCTTTTCCTTGGCCCATCACAGGCAAATTTGTTAAGTAGTACCAGTTTGTCTTCCTTAAGACTGTTTCAGCTTCTATCACCATAACCTCCCCAGGTCTATCCCCCTAGCATAAATTCATCCCTGTCCCCAAGGGCTTAGGACTTCTCTTCAGGATATTCACTTGATAAGTCAGTAATCAGGGTAAATTAGTTTATATCCAACTTCTTAACAGGAGCCTTTGCATTAAGGAAAAACATGATTAACAGGAAGTGCCCCACCCTCAGAAAATGAATCTTGAATGTTAAAATTTCAGATACCACAGTATGTGGGTAGAGAATTATTTGGATCAGTGAAGATTTCTTAGCAGAAGACTAGAAGGATATTAGTATTAATAACTGCCTCTATTCTATTTCTAAAATTGTGGCTATGAGATCACTTGTGCTACAATCACCAAAGATACCTCTTTAAAAAACAAAACAAAACAACAGATTTTTAGGCCCAATCCCAGAATAATTAAATCAGAATCTCTGGAAGTGAGGAGCTTATACTTTAGAAAGAGAGGACAGATGGGTAAACAAATATGAGGTTAGTCCTATTATCCCAATCTTGGGCATCATCAGATTATACCTTATAGACAAAAGCTTAGGGTTTCCATACATTAATTGGCCTACCAGTAGCCACTGTGCCATATTAGAGATTTTATTTTAAACTGGTATATAAAGAACACCAAGTGCATCTTTTTGTCTTACCAGGCACTCCAGCTTGGATCCAAAAGTTTATGTCTGTCCCTTCTCCATCACAAAAGACCTGAGTGATGTTGAGCGGCTGTAGCAGGCTCATGACCTCCTTCATGATGGCCCTGGCCTTTTCACTGCCACTGAATTGCAGCCCAGTGGGTAAGAAGGTTCCTGAGTCAGACTCCATCACCAGACTATAGTTGGAAATATTTACCTAAACAAAAGAGAAAATGTTTGGTTCATATCTGTTGCTTTTGTGCTTTCTCCTTGGGAACTACCAAACAACACCAACCAAATACTCTACCTCCTCATAAACTGTTGCTGAAACACCTGTTGCTCTGCCTAACTTAGGGTCTGGTCTGTATATTACCTAAGCCTTCTGAGATACACAATTACTCATCCTGGGATTTGCCACTTAAGAGTTGACTTGGAAGGACTCAAAAAATGTAATGAAGGGAAATATAAAGCCCAATATTGAAGCTGTTCAATTATTTCTGTTAGCAATACTATTCTTTCAACCGATTTTCTTAAGTGTCTACTGTGTACCAGTATGTAATTCCTCTTATATGGCAGGGATTTCCAGATAGTGTTAGCCATGCTCAGACAAAAAGAAGGTATGTTCTGTGGACTTATTTCTTTGTACCTTCTCCCTCTAAGTAGATATTCTATCTTATTTTAATTGTGAGTTCTGTGAAGCTTAAAGGCATCAAACTGACAGGTTTGTCTTGGGTTTCTGATTTTGTCGTTGTTCCATCTGTTGAATCCCCAGAGAGGGAGGTAATAGAACAAGACATGAAACACTGTTCTCCCTGGTGTAAAACCAAGCACTCTAATTCCAGGCAACTCTGCCAGGCTGCTAGTTTGTAAACTCTTTCCAAATAAAGTCTGGTAAGAAAGCACAGTGATTTCATGTAGCTGATATTGTCACGGCAAGAGCTTAGAATTTAACAGGCTCTTGACAGGTTGCACAGCTAAATTGCTAGCCAGCCCCAACACTTGCAAGTTTAAGGCCCTTCAAACAGGCCAGGCCACCCGTTTCCCAGGAATCATCCATTTCTTCAAGACTGATCAACTACCACCTTGGTTGAGAAGCTTTCCTTGGACAGCACTGCTAGTCATTCCTCATTATTTGCCTAGTAAAAATCAGTAACAACTTTTGTGCAGTGCTTCCGGAAAGCTTTCACATTTGCGATTTCCTTTGGTCTTCATTGACAACCCATAAAATAGACAAAGCAGCTTTATTGTTCATGCTCTTTTATAGGAAATGATCTGAGAATCAGAGAGATCAAATGATTTGCTCAAAGTCACACAGTTGGAAAATGGTAAAGTTGGCTCTGAAATCTTGTGCTTTCAAAAACTCCACACTGCTATTGCTAGCATGGGACTAGAATGGTAAGTAATACTTGTTCTGCATTAGAATGATTTTTTACTTACATATCAATTTAAGGATTGTGTAAGATTTTTCTTCTAAAACAGATTCCATTTTACAATGTTTTCCTAACTATTTGCCATGCAAGTACACTGTGATAAAGGCAAGATCAGCAGCAGGTTCTAAAGAAGACATTGTCAGTATTTACAGCACTGAATGGGGGGCCCTGTGATACCAGCACTTTTTGTTGTTGTTAATGATGAGAAGGTTAACAAAGCAGAAGTCTGTTCATATTTCCACTCTCGCTTCAAAGAAATTTGCCTTCATGGTGATTTTCAGCAAAAGACCCAAGACATTTATAACAAAAAGTGCTACCTCAGCTTTCAGCCGTGGCTACTGCATTATGGTAGCATCATTAGAGTTAATAATATGCAAAATACTTGCATTAATGTCTTACATTCAGGGCTCATTTAACTAGTACGTTGATGCTAGGTCAGCAGGTTGACATGTAATTTGATAGCCCTATTCCTCTTTCCCTGTATGCCCTGCTATATCTAGTCCCAACCCTGAACTCTTTCCCTCCTCTGCAGAAAGGAGAAAAGAAAAATCACAACATATCTTGTAAATGAATACAGAATTGACAATCTTGTATGTGATGGTGCCCATATTGCAGGCAGATCCAATCCTTCCAACAAGGAAACCAGGCAAAGTCTCCTAATTATGTACTATTTAGGTTAAAAGGGCAGCTAGTTAGCAGTTTGGCTGTTAGACCCAGCACTAACAAGCAGCCTGGTGTGGTAGACAAAGACATGGACCCACTTTGCTGTATTCCTGACGCAGCAGCTGACACACTTGGCTATCGAGGAGGGTGACTGGCACCCTTGGCACTTGGCTTCTCTATCTATAGGTTGGGACAAATGCTCTTTCTAAACCTTGAATAATAAGCCTCTCCATATGGAACTTCAGGCACCTTTAAAGAAAAATCTCTGTAGACCAAAGTGAAAGTGATCGCATGAATTAAACCTACTAGGGCTCCTAACAACACGTCCTTTAAGTGCTTTCTTGACCTCTTTAACTGCAAATGAACAAATGTCCTATGGACAGGGGACTTTACAGTTTATGAATGCCACTGTGCAATGTCACAGGATGTTGACAGGAACATATAGAATAATGCAAATAAAGGAGCTTTCAAAGGTGCCATAGGCTATATATATATATATGTGACAGCCATTTGAGTGGATAGATAAAGAATATGAGTGTTGGAATTATCCAGACTAGGTTTGGTCATCATATTAACCAATCTTTAGCTGCATGACTTTGAGCAGTCTATGTAACCTCTCAGTTTCTTCCTCTATGAAATGGGGATGCTAGTGATGGTTTCCAGCTCATGGAGTTGTAAGATACGGTGCTGCGGTAAAGCCTAGCATATAATTAGCACTTGATAAGCAGCAGCATTACAATTGTTACTGTTCTTAGCCCTGGGCATCAAGACCTCGCAGATTTTCAAGGATGGTCCCAATATAAACCATTCTGTTAGCTGATTATAATAATCATAGGTTGCATTTTGGAGTGCTTCCTACAAGCCAGACACTGCAAAATCCTTTCCAGCTCATCCCATGTAATGTTCATAATCATTCTATGCTAGATTTCTCATTTCTCAGATGAAGCAACTGAGGTTTAGATAGGTTAACTAACTTTCCCAAGATTACCTGGCTAGTAAGTGGTGCAGCCAGAATTCAAACCTGGAGGTCGGCCTCCCCAAGCCTGTGCTCCAAACCCCTCCACTGTCCTGTATCATGAAGGTCACATCTGTCAAGCCCCAAGTCCTCACTTTTAATTCAGAAACACAGACACTGTAGTGAAACAAATGGGCAGTATTTAAAAAAATTTTTTCATGATCATAACACAAAATTATTTGAACAGAATTTATCAACCCTGCAGTATACTGATTAAGCAAGAAGAGGGATGAAAAATTAATAAATAAATAAATAAAAATTCTTCCTTCCAAAAAATGATTTCCTTCCAACTAGGAATAAAAATCCTCAAATAATAAAACATCTTTTTAAGCCAAATAAGACAGGATATATAGATATCAGTAAACCAGAATTCTGGCATAGGAAGAGAAATGTTTGATTTCTATTCATGCTGAATTTTATTAGCTATTGCTACCATGATGGCAGAATTCTATTGTTTTCTGTTTATATATAAACATGTCCATATGTTTTCAATAAAGAATTAAGAAAACAAACCACCCACCGTCAATGACACTGCTTTTTCCCCACATTTATGGAGTCATTATCTAATTGTTAGCACATGGTGAACAAGTTGGGCAAACATCTCTGCACAAAGAAACTGGAATAAAAAGAGCTGGCTCACTGGTCTGTTAGAACTGCTGTTTCTCCGGAATGTGTCGTCACACACATCCGTATTTCTTTGTATGCCATGCATATTTGGGGACAGTGTAGATTTGAAAAGCTGATTGTAGCTAGTGACAGAGAGTGGAGTCATGCTCATTTCACACACATAGGAACAAGATATTCATCTTCTTGTTTACAGGGTGTAGGAAGAAGCCTACTTCTAGAGACTGAATGCTTTGTTGCTGAGATAACCAGCACTGATTGAGACAAGCTGAGGCACACAGATGAGGAGACTGAGCAGCTCAGTGATAAGCTCAGATATTATCTGTAACCCCCCCCCACTTTGTTCTTTTAATGAAGAAAAACACCTCTTTATTAGGAGTCATGGAAAGTGTTGTTCATTACCATGTAATGTACATATGCAAAGTAGAGAAATGCTCTGGAGTAACCTCCTATTTGTTGGGATCATTGGATTAGCTAGTATCTGCTCAGGGTCAAGGATTCATAACTTCGTCGTGTGCTACAATCACATCTTATAACACTTCTCTCCCTTTTTTTTAAGGGTCAGGCTCCTCTGCCAAAGAGCAATTTGGAAATAATAAGCATTCTTTGGGTGCAACACAAGACTTAAAAGAAGAAAAATGTTTGATATATATATTGCATGTTTTAAAATGCTTACTTCCTAATATAAACACAAGGGTGATGTTTGTGTTCTTTGCTTTTATAAAATTCCAGGTGATTCTTCATAAATATAGACCAAGGTCCAATAACATCTCCTCTCCCCCTAAATTTGGCTTATTTTTTGTTTAAAAGTTTTTGGTTTTTTCATAACCTAGAGAAAAAGCCTATGAGAAAACCAGGAGAAAATAAGCCTATTTTCTCATGTTCTTTGGTTTTGACCTAAAATAACACTGAAATCCCAAAATCAAATAAAAAGTAAAAGAGAATCCTAATTATTTGAATTAACCATGTAGCCTTAACTCAGTCTTCAAAGAAGTAAATTCCACACTGACACAGGGCAATCAACCTCAGTACCACTTTCTTGCCCAAGCAAAACGTTAATATTTTACAGATGATGGTGGTGATGCTGTTTGGACAGGTGGTAGGCTGAAAACAACTTTCCAAAAGCAAATCTTCCAATGTGTGTGTGTTGAGTTGCCACAATTATATTTTCAGCTGTGCCAACGACTCTGGAATTCCCAGTTTCTAGGGGTGAAAGTGGTAGTTCTTCAAAGAGCTTCAGCTCAAACAACTGTCATAACTGGATGATAGGTAAAGAGGTTTCTTCCTGCTATGCAAAGTCAAAAATAGGCTTTACTTTCTGGTCGGGTTTACCCTGAAGCTCAGACTTTTATTTCTGACAGTCTCCAGCATTCAGTTTTGAACAGCCTTGGGTACCCAAGGGAGAGCCAGGAAAGGGGTGATGACAAAGTGGAGTGTCATAAGTTATTTTTATTTGACAGCTAAACTGGCTACAGCTTGGGGAAA